GGCTTTTTCCAAAGCCCGACTTCCTTGTTCTGTTAGTCTCTTAAAAGTGAGGCATTAGGAGCATCATTAGAAAACTTTATATGCATAGATGGGGCCTATGATGGACCAACCAGATGCTTCCTTGTTGATGACCTGGCAGGGGCAGGGCAACCTTTTGGGGGCAGGGAGGAGGGGGAGGGGCACTAAAAGCTCCACCATTGATAGATTTTTCTCTCTGGGTGTTCAGTTACTCTAGAGAGGAAACCGCTGATCTGCCTGAGGGGTTGTGCTCGCTAGCCCCTACTTTTGGAACTGAGCAGAATAGAGTAGGACCTCACTATTTAACACTGTCACATTTCACTTAACCCTTGTCATCATCATAACACTTCCTTCCGTTTCTTGACTCAGCCCAGACATCCTACCTCCCTGCTGCAGCTTCTTCATAGAAAAAAGCTCTAGCTTCTGATGTATCTGAGAGAGAGTTGTTCAGCTATTTGGGACTGAGGAAGGCATTTAGGAATCTACCTCCTCCCAAAATCGAGTTTCAATAACAACTTGCTTCTATTCCCCACTTCACTCTCACAGTCAGTGGGGCTGAACGTCGCTAATTCCTGGTACCTTCTGAGATTCGATGGCAAGAACTAGCCTATTTTCTACCCTAGAGGTGCTCTCTTTTGCTCGGTTAAGTCATTTAACTTGTCCATCTGATTTTGATTTTCCAAAAGATCAATACAGATTTGTCTATCATAGTAGCACCTGTTTTCTTTGCCCTTTCGGGTTTATATATTATTTATCCTCTTCAGTGGCATTTTGGGAGGAAGCAGAGAGAGAATATATATCTAACCTAAATTGTTTAACCAGAACTCTTAGCTTCAATTTTTACCACTTGTTCTTTAAAAATTTTTAAAAACTGATAAGCACACTGAGAATTCTGTAACAAGTTACTGGGGGGAAACAAAGACAAAACGACTACTTTTCCTCCTCCTTCCACACATCATGCATTTGTATGAACTTGTCCAAAACAGATAAAAGATAAACAGAAATTCAACAAGAGTTTTCAAATGGGGCAAATTTAGTCTGTGCTTACTGCACCAAAATCTCTGATGTAGGCAACTGCAGGTACTCAAAGAAAATAACAAAATCATATACAGGACTTATAATATTGACTCATAGTACCCCAAGCATAGGTAACTCTTTTGCTTCCAACGGACTTATCGACCATTACTCACTATAAATTCCATGGAAAGTGGCCTAATTTATCACGCTGCAAACTCTGTTGTCCTCACCTCCTGACTGGCATCAACAGATTGTTCAGTCTCTTGCAGAATTTTCTTTCTCAGCTAGTAAACAAGCGACAGACCTATTCAACTTGAATTTCATCTCTACTTTCTGTGATGCTTTTCATGTTAAGAAATGTTGCTTTTCTTTTTTTTTACTTTAAATTTTATTGTTACGTTAATCACTATACATTACACCATCAGTTTTTGATGTAGTCCTCCATGATTCATTGTTTGCACATAACACCCAGTGCTCCACGCAGAACGTGCCCTCTTTAATACCCATCACCAGGCTAACCCATCGCCCCACCCCCCTCCCCTCTAGAACCCTCAGTTTGTTTTTCAGAGTCCATCGTCTCTCATGGTTCGTCCACCCCCCTCCGATTTACTCCCCTTCATTCTTCCCCTCCTGCTATCTTCTTCTTTTTTTTTCTTAACATATATTTCATTATTTGTTTCAGAGGTACAGGCCTGTGATTCAACCACATAATGTTCTGTATGAATTCATGACTGCTTACGAGTTGCTTTCATGTCAGTGGAAGCAAAGAGTTCTCAGTAAAGAAAGTAAAAGAAAGTCTTAGTAGTGATAATAACTAGTAGCCACAATGAAGATGCTAATCAAATGTCAAACCCATCAAGGTGAATTTTTGCACTTAACGTTTATGGGTGTCACAAATCTTGATGGCAAATGTCAGTTCTTTCCATGGTTAGTGACATCAATTCATCAAAAACAAGAGACAGGAACATGCAGATGCTTGTTTTAACAAGTAAATGTACCATGGCCTGTGGTAGGTCTGACTTTGCAAATATTACATATTCTTGGGAAGCCAGACAGAGAACAAGTTTGGACTTCAAGATAGTAAGTGTCAATGAGGCTAAAGAGAAATGTTTTGGTTTTTTTATACCCCTCCCCTGAGAAAGAATTTTCTCACATATCTAGAAGGAAAGGGAAAAGAATGTGTATTGGTACAGTGTTCATTCAGCATTTGACTACCAGTTCTATTCAACACTTAAAATGTGCATGGTGTAAATCTCCACTGATCTCTTCTACTTCTACGGATTCATCTGTCAGCTGTTTGCTGATGACATTCAAATATGCCAAGATTATTCTGACTTTTCTTCTTAATTTCCAATACATTTCAAAGAACTGTCCTAAGCTATCTCAAACTCCACAAATCCCAAATTAATCCAATTATCTACCCATCAAGTCCACTGTTTTTCCCCTAAATTCCTTAATTCAATGAGTTTTTTCTTTCTTTCTTTCTTTCTTTCTTTCTTTCTTTCTTTCTTTCTTTCTTTCTTTCTTTCTTTCTTTCTTTTTTCTTCTTTCCTTTCTTTCTTTTCTTTCTTTCTTTCTTTCTTTCTTTCTTTCTTTCTTTCTTTCTTTCTTTCTTTCTTTCTTTCTTTCTTTTCTTTCTCTCTTTCACCATCTAGTCAGTCATCCAAACTAAAAATTTTACTCACATTCTACCACCAAGCACAGTTCTCACACCAATGGCCAATAAATATTTGTCAAATAAATGAATGAATGGATTTTCAATGCTTTTGCTTCCTGTCCCTCTAACTAATGATTTATTAAGTGCCAGTCACTTGACAGCAAGCCCCCTCTTGAGGCATCCCCTTCCGTTGGCTGCACTGTTGCTACTGCAACATGGGCCCTCAAGCCTCCTCCCCCTTGGGTCTCTACCATCTTAACCGACAGCAGTGCAGCTTTGGTCATATTTTAACTTGGTTTAAAAATATTTAATTCTCCCTTTTGCCTGCCAAACAAAATTCCAACGTCTCTTCCTGACTCTTCTCAATTATTAGACCCTTGTAACTTCCTCTGACTCCTTCGGAGGAGTCACTTCCTCTGAATCCTCCTCTAAGGCCAGGCTTTCCCATTTTTGATCACACTGGGTCATTCCATGCCTTCATGCCTTTGATCATTTGATTATTTCCTATGCTGGGATGTGCCTTTTCTCTGTTGTCCAGGCTGCTCAGATCCAGATTGTCCTTTAGCTCTTAATCCAAACACTTCCCAGGCTTCTAATTGGAATTTTTTTTCTACTCCTCAAAGCTTGCATGATCTTTTTATTTCTACTTTTGCTCTACCTCTCAACACAGGCAGAGCTGCATTTTCATAATCTGTTATGTATCTGTCTCTCTCCCAAGTCCGAAAAGGCCCCATTCCCAGCACTTAGTGCCCAACCCACAGTAAATGCTATAGAAAGTTTTCAGAAATGACACCGAATTAAAGCCTTTATATACACTATATACATTACCAAGAACTAAATACTTATTTCAGGAGTTAAAGGAAAAGAAAAAAAAAAAGAAAAGAAAATTGAACCAGAAAATGTTTAGCATTGAGAAGAAGGTGAAAAATATTAAAATAATGTGATCCATGATGTGGTATGAACTCCTATCTTAAAAAAAAAAAAATCGCCTTTTCAGTGAACAGAGGTTCACTGAGCCCCCACTTCCAACACCAAGCTGGCTGGCACCTTGCTGCATACTGCTCCTTTCCTTCTCCTGCAGCCTCTTCAAACCACAGGCAGCCGGGGCAGTATTTAGGCCTGTGCTATTCATTCTTTATTCTTTATTCACTGGGTTTTTTTTTCCCTATCTTGTCTTCCAGGCATCAGGAGTGTGGCTTTAAGAATCCCTGTGTTAGATGAGATAATGTGATGGCTGTGGGAAGACGTGGCCTGGTTCCCCTTTGGAAAGCTTTCATTTTATCTAGTACCTCTGAGAGAACATGAGTCGGTTTGGAATGTACTGACCTCTCCCTCGGGTGCTGTGCTCTCTCTTATCGGGGTGGGGGGTATGGAGGGGAGGAAACAGGCTGTCCTGGGTTCCCCCAAACCCCCCCCGCCCAGGTTCTCATGTATCAAGTCCTGTGTTTCAATGGCCTCGTGCATAATGTGCCAACTGAGGGGCCAGTAGTGATGAGAACTTGTTGCATTTGACTTTTAATTATACATGGTGCAGAGTCCTTGCTAGTTCAGAGAAAGTCACTCTTTAGGTTTGCTTTATTTTAATGAAGGGGCATTTTATCTAATTGGAGAGAAATTATCACAGAGTAAAGAGTCCAAACACCTACCTCGACTTGCCCCAACGATTTTTTTTAACTCTTTATTATAAAAATATTATAAATATATGCTAATTAGAGAGAATTGTAAAGACCCTGCATGTCACCATATCCAGCTTCCACAAGTAAGTAACAGCCCATCTTAATTCATCTGTACACCACTCCCACTCTCCCAGATTGTTTGGCAGCGATTCAAACATCATATTATTTCATTCATAAGTATTTTTAAATAACACATAGGAATCTTGTTGGCAATATTGTTAAACAGCTTACCCTTGGTTAATAAAGTTCTCATCTTACCACAGCTTCTATATTTTGTTGTCTCAAAACTTGAAAGGCTTACGGGGCTTCCCATACACATATTAAATGTGTAAAACTTAAACATGGTGAGTGGGATGGTGTGAGCTAGCTCTATCCCTGTGATTAATGTATTCTGTACACAATGGCACCCAGGGTGTGGGAACGCCCCTCCTTGGTCACCTAGTAACTTTTCACTGGTCAACAAGAAGCTGAACGAACTATTATATTGTGAGAAAGTGCTTGGCTGCCTCACTTGGATCATCTCCTCGATTTTAAGCGAAGTACCATCGCCAAGTTTGAATTTGCTAAACCTTTAGGCTTTGCTGGCCGAAAAGAAGCACTCCACTCCTGGAGCATAAATGGATTCAGAGGACATGGGCTCAGGTAAACTAGACCAAATACTGAAGCAGATATGGAGACAAAACCTGATGCTAAGGCAGGCCCTCCTGGGTGATAACCCTTGTGAAGGGTCTGGTGGTGCCACTTGCATAGCCACAGTGGCCTTTCTGGGTCAAGAGCTCAGTGGAGCCCTTCACCAGCTCTTGGAGCACACTGCCGGCACTCTGCTGACAGGTAGAGATTTCTTTTATTTATTCTTTCTCTAGGAAATGTTGATTGGACAGTCACTTTGAGATGTACGAAGGGGCAGGCAAAGAAGGCTAAGACAGAGCCTTGTCCACAAGGGACTAACAATATATTAAGGGAAATAAGGTAAGACAAATGCACAATAATGCAAGGGACATTAAGGCCAGTTCCATTAAAGACGTAGAAAGGAAGTGCATTAAGACTTCACAAGCAGGCAAGATTCCACTTTTAGAGCGGGAAACAGGGAATTTTGCTAGATCGAATGCTGTATTTCAACTGAAGCTTAAGGAATGAATTGGATTTATGCAGCTGGAAATTAGGAATCTTGAAAGTACATTCCAGGCAAGGGTATTATTAGTAGGATCCAAGATTAAAGGGAGGAAAATATCCCTAGTTTGAGGTAGAACAAGCAGTTTTTCTATATTGGAATATGATATTCTATGTGTAGAATTATTTGAGCTTGAACCCATTATTGCAAAACTCTAGAAAGACTGGGCTGGGCTGGGCTATAGAATTGGACCCCCCTCCCACACACACTAAGAGGGGAGCAGATTCTTGGGAATAGTCCCAATTATGGATGCTGAGAAGTATGGCAGGAAGAACATTGTATCTGATGAATATGATCTCAGACAACAAGTTACTCCAGATAAGAAGATGAGTGGTATCATGAAATCCAACTCTAAATTATATAGTGTCAAGGCAAGTGGGCAGGGCTCATCAATCAGGAATCCAGGGGATAATGTTAAGAAATTATTAGCGGGCAGTTGGTAGGCATCAGGGAAATCTGCCCAAAGGCAGCATGACCCAGACAATAGCAGCTGGAGCTTGTAGCCAGGACTCTAGTCTCTGGAGAGAATTGAATATGGTCCTAGGCAACATATTGAGACAAATACTTGTTTGTGGAAAATGGTAAGGACACTGTTTCCGGAAGAGAGATCAAAATAAAGACAGTCTTAGGTACAAGACAAAAACACAAGTCGCCAGAACTGGAGCCCAAAGATAAACCCAGACTCATAAAAGGATAATTTAATGATGATTCTTCAAATACTGACCTATGGGGGCTACAAATTACATATTCCTTAGTTCAGGATTGAATTCTAAAGATTGGAGAGTTGCTAAGCCTGCAAGAAGTGATCAGATAACCTCAGCTGTGAGCTGTAACCTCAGAGGAAGGATGGACAAAGAGGAGAATGGTAGGACGTGGGGATGGAGTGAGGAGAGATTCTATCAGATCACATCATGGGGAGGGTCTACACCAGAGTGAAGAGGCTTGACTTGGTTTAACAGTCTCTGAGTAGCCAGTGTACATTCTAATCAGAGAATCAGAACCTGTACAATTAGAGCTTTTTTTTGGAAGGCTAATCTGAAAATTGTAAATGATCACAAGCTCAGCAGAAGTGTAAACCTAACTTAATTCTCATAGCAGCCAACAAAACACCTAAAAAATACAGCATCTGCACCAGTAGGAATAACGTAGCTATGGTATGCTGGCTATCCAAGTCTCATCTGAAGTGTTTTGCTAAATTTGAGGCAAATAATTATAAGTGGATCATTGACAAATGACATAGTACATTCAAAGGAGAAGGAACAATTCTCAAAATCATACTAAATCATCAAGGAATTATTGAGGGAGATGTTGACTTCAATTGAAGAGTTTTATGGGCATCGGGGGATCATGGTGTCTGCCTTCAAATATTCAAAGCATTTTTATGAGCAGGAGGGATTAGATTTATTCTTTGCCACTACAGTAAGAAGTAATTTGTCCCCAATTCCTAAATGTGTTAAAAGAGTGACAGTTGTGCAAATGACTTCTCCTTCAGGAGGGAGAAAGGCTTAAATGCCTGGTAAGGGTCTTGGTAGGTTTCTAAAGTTATTTTGCCATACCTCATTAGATGTAAGTGGAGAAATATGATTTGATTCAGTTTTGTATTTTCTTCTTTTTATGTATCTGTGTGTATACAGAAATCTCTACTTTCATAGTCTGCCTCATGAAAATAAATGAATATTTGAGGAGCACTGCTACACTTCTAAAGAAAGAAGAAAAGGAGATGTGTAATTTATGCAGCACGCATGATGAATGTACCCCACGGCGGACAATGTCCACCATTCACGATATCAAAGCAGCAGGCATTGCTGCAAGAAGGGAACAAAATGTCATAGAAACAGCTACTGTTTCTCCCACAAATAGAGAGGAAAGTCCTTATACAAACCAGGTCCAGTTAAAAAAAAAATAAAGCACATGTGAGTTCAGAATTAGTGGGGGAAAAAAAACAATACCTTATTGAATGGAGATGTAACAGAGCAAGGGGAGTCTCAGAACAAAATGTTCCCAGATAATGCTGAAAATGAAGATGATAAACAAACAGAACACATGACTATTGAGAACATAAATGGCAACAAGGAAGAGATGCATGACATAATCCAGACAACAGAAAGAGAAATTCAAGAGACTTCAGAAAGCCACATCCTCAATAACATGTGATATCTCCAGCAAGTATCTGAATAATCTTCTTTCCAGTGATTCAGAGAGTCTAAAGCAAAAGAATAACATAATGGAAAAGGAGTAAGTAAATGTGATGTGAGAGGTGCTTGTATATCCTTGCTGATACATGTGTTTCTGTCGTTATTATACATAGTATTTATATATGATGAGGATTTTGTATTTCCATTTCAGATCTCCAAAAGATATTGTAAATCAATAATTCAGTTTAAATTATTCCCAGTGAAATTATACGACTGCTATTACTAATATTTTTTTATAATTTTAGGAAACAAACATTAAATGTTTCTTTAAAGGAAGAGGAATCCACTATAGAAGAAAGTAGTTTAAATAAACAATTGTCCAGAACATGAACACTCTTCTAAATCACTACTCTTTCAATTATAATAAGAAAAACTAAGAAGCTGTGGAGAGTTCAAATTCTAGAAAAGCATTTTCTAGCCTCAGATTTATTTTAACAATATCCTCAAATAAATTCTCACATTTATTTTATTTATAAATTATCATAAATTCTTAACCTGTGTCTGTAGACTCTAGGTGGCATGGGTAAGCTTTAGGCAGTTATTAAAATTGAGTGTATATTTTCATACCTATTTTATCTCCTTGGAGATTGTCCAAAGCTTTTCCCAGATTCTCAAGGAGCCCCTGACTTAAAAAAAAAAAATGTTGAAATTGACAGATATACTTCATAAATTATCTCCCTTATACAAGGGGATAATAATCCCTATTTGTCCAAATAAAATAAAATATTCACAGCCATAGTTTTTCTGCAAAGATCACACCCTTAGAAGACAATGGGGCATAATGAAAAAAATCATTGCTTTGGGAATCAGACAGACTTAGATTTTATCTCCTGTTTTTTTTACATACTAGTTTTGTGATCCTGAGAACTTGCTTCATTTCTTAGCCCTATTTTATTCTTTGTAGAAATAATATATACTTCCTGGGATTATTTGGTAAGGTCAAATGAGAAAGTCATGTGAAGGGCCTAGCACCACACTACTTTGCAGATGTTCATGCTGAGCTAAATGTGAGTTTGTAATTGATTTCACTCTCAACAACCCTCACTTTCCCTACCTCCCATGTGCTTCCCACCTTCACTTAACCCCTCTCTGCCATGACGTATGATGCTCTTTTCAGGTGTATAATACCATTTCCAGGACAACACCACAACTGCGTCTTCAATCTCCAGCAACTCATTTTGCTATTTTGACCTTAGTTATCTCATCAATAAAATGAAGAGGTTGAGTTAAGTTAGCTGTGAGGTCCCTATAGGGCTGAGAATCTAATGAGTTTTATAGATGTCATGGAAGTACATTCAATTCTTGACAGACCCCATAGTTTGAAAGAATTACTGCCCCTGCAAAACAACTATTAAGTTAGTTAATATGTGGTTGCCCATTTCACTTGAGAAAAACGTTAACACTTCATATTCTCACATTCAGAAATGACTCAAAGCATCAACTAATGAGTCACTGCTGAACCACTCCCTCTAACACCTCCCTTAGGTGTTCCCTCGTTGGTGATTTCCTCTTTGTAGCATACAAAACAATTGCGCTTGGTTTGCATATTTATAAAAGATGACTACTCCTTTCAGTCCTTCAGGCTAGAAACCATCAGGCCACTTAAAATATGTGTGTCATAAACAAAACCTCGCTGGGAATCTGTTGTGATTCCTCCCTGGATAGCTTTCTGTAAGAAACCTATCTCTTCCAGTGTTGTTGTCCTAGTGTGTATAGACTCAAAGGGAAACAAGAGAAACATAAACCAATCTGATTACTTCAGCTGCTGGACTAGATCTGTTTGACTAAGGCTAGAGGAAACAGAAGCATTTACAGGTCTCTTTCCTCACTTCATCTGTCAGTCTTTTAGAAGAGCGTATGCAGATAGTTTTCGAGCCACAGAAGATCATTTTTAAAGTTATACAAGGCTGGGTCACTGTATTCTCTCTCAAACCATTCAGAAATTGTTTCTTATTTTCTGAAGTACCATCATCAGAGAATATGCAAACAAACCAATGTACTGAGTAATTTTCCTTCCAACTTTACAGGTTCAGAATTATAAATCTAAATAAATAAACTTCTCTGCAATTTCAACATTATTTTTTAGATATCTATGTTAAAGGGCATTAAAAAATTCAATTTACTAAGAATTGACAAATAGTTAAAACTTGATTATCCTAGAACCAAGTATTAATGCTCTATTTTATATTGATCCTCTCATTTTTCTTTGACATTGCCAATATTTCAGCCATTTCACGGGTAAGAAATAAGAAGTAGAAAGAAGAGGAGAAACTCGAGCTGGTAATTTTAATGCAGAGATCTAATTTATTGAGCATGCAATTTATGCTAACCCCCTATTATAAGAGGTTTAAATATTTTATTTCATTCCATCTTCATACTATTGTGGATTAGGTATTAGTTTCAGTTTGTAATGGATAAAGAATCCAGTGCTTTGGAATGATTTGAGGATATTATGTCAGAGTTTGGGCTTTTGTGCTTAATATAGATGGATTCAATTATTGATTCTGTAGACTTACCATCGGTGTGATTTTCAACAAGTGAAATTTTCTAAGCCTCAGTTTCTCTTTCTGTAAAAGGTGATGACAGTAGTACCTGCCTGACTCCCTAGTGAGGATGAAATGAAACAATGTGGGGGCACTTGGCTGGCTGAGTCAGTAGAACATGCGACCCATGATCTAGGGGTTGCGAGGTCGAGCCCCATGCTGTATATAGAGATTATTGAAAGATAACAAATTAAAAAAAAAAAAGAAACAATGTGTAACCTAAAATCTAGTCCACAAAGAGACCTAAAATATTGGTTATTTTAATAATAATTATTGATGTTTAAAGTCAAATAATGACTGATCTCAAATTTGAATTCAAATGTTTAAGACACTAAAAGCTTCGGCAAAGGTGATGGTTATAAAAAGCAAGAGTACAACAAGTGGTCAAAATTCTTTGAGGATTGTAAATATTTTGCTTCTAGTTATCATGACTAATCCTAAGTTCACAGTACTTTTGTACCTTTTTCAGTTTTTCTAAAAAACATAATAAACATCATTCGATATAATGTGTTTGGATAATTCCAATACGAGATATGTATTTATCTCCTTTCCTCAAAATTTAGTAAATGATTCAGCTATTAGTACTTGGTTTATCAAGAAGCAGTAGCAATCTTCAGATTCATTTTGTAACGTGAAAACTGAGAAATCACCACCTAAATAATAATAGTAATGTCAGTAGTAAAAATAGTAATAATAGCTCATACATATAATACCTACTATGGGCCGAGCATAGGTTTTTAATAACTTAACATATACTAGTTTATTTAATTCTCACAGCCTTCTTATGAGATAGGTATTATTTTATTATAATTTTGCAGTTGAATAAACTGAGGCACAGAGGATGAATATCTTGCTAAAAGGTTACAGAGTTAGTAAGTGAAAGAGTTGGGATTCACAGCAAGACAAGGTGGCTCTAGAGCTTGTGCTTATTTATTTATTTATTTATTTATATTTGCTTTATAGTTTATTTTTTGTCAAATTTTTTATTTAAATTCTAGTTAACATATAGTGTAATATTGGTTTCAGGACTAGAATTTAGTGACTCATCACTTACATACAACACTCAGTACTCATCACAACAAGTGCACTCCTTAACACCCATCATGCATTTAGCCAATCCCCTGCTCACCTCCCTCCATTAACCCTCAGTTTGTTCTCTATACTTAAGAGTCTCTTATGGTTTGCTTCCCTCTTTTTCGCATTTAGCCATATAGTACATAAATCAAGTAATTGGAAAAATTATGTATTTTTTTCCTGCAGGTATTTTGATATGCTGATACCAGCCCCCAAGTATCTTGTTATATTACAGCACCATCATATATTCTACAACATCTAGAATGCCAGATAATTAATAGCATGAGTTCTTTAATAGTGAGTGATAGTGAAGAGTTGGTCAGTAATGTCATCACTGTTGAGTGTTCAGATATGGAAAAAAAAATCCACTTCTAATATGCATTGCAATTCCATTTACTGTACGTTACAGGTGAAATTACAGAAACATCATGGTGAAAGTGTCTGACATAAACCTTCAATCAAGTTACCTAACCCCAAATTCACTGGAAGGAATGAGAGGAAGTTATAAGGTTGGTAAATCCTTGGCTACTTCTACATTTGCTGTTTGACTCCTCTAGTAAATAGTACTCAGACCACCAGACTGTGTAGAGATCTAATTGCTCCATCAGTAACAAATGGAAGGGTTAATTAGATTAATGCCAGTAAATTCACGAATATTTTGCTATCTTTTGATCTTTATGATCAAAGAGCAGAAATTGGCCAAACTTAGGAAAGAAGAACTTGGGTCTAGGACCCAGCAAATGTTGTATTTTCACCTGGGGCGGGGGGGAAATCAAAATCATGGCTTAATTAGCTTCATGCCTTAGACTAGCAATAGACTAACATTTAAATGTGATGGACCTCTGTCTAAATTTAAGAATGTTGGAATCCCCAGATAACACTAGCTTTATTGTTTATCATTCACGAGTTGGGAAAATATGTAAAAAAAATTGAACAATTGTGTGTGTGTGCACACCTTGAGATAGTTTTTAAGTCTATAAATTATGTTCTGTTCATATACAGAAGACAGTGTATGTGGTAGTTAGGATGTGGGTTGTGGAGGAAGATTAGCTGGGTTTGAAATCTGGTTCCTGTACTTCTGTGCTATGTTAGTGTGGGTAAATTATGTAACCTTGCCATGACTCAATTTCTTTATCCGAAAAATGAATACAATAATAGTGTCCATCTGATAGGGTCATAAGGATTAAATGAATAAATGCACTTACAAAGATAAAAGGAAGCCTGTAAACACGCGTTAGTAGTAGACTTTATTGTAGTAACTGAGTTTCTCTGTGGTCACAAATTCATATGTTTTGAAGACAGGTTATAGCAGTTATTAAACTTAGCATAGAGTTGATGGGAGCTAAGGTTAAAGATTCTTCTGTGGGCCATTGAATTTATTTTTAAACAGAATATTTGTCTTTTTAGCTTTATGTAAGTTTTCATTATTTGAAGACAAGGGCAAGGAATAAATATTTTAAAATTCCACTAAATAAGAAATTCTTTATAATACATCTCTTCTTTTTCTGATTTGTGTCTTTTCTGAGTTACAAACAACATTATACAGTAGAATATGAAAGCTAAGCCTGTTCTAATTATTTATTCCAATTCATGTCACTAGCATATTTTATATTTGGTCTAGGAAGCCTGTATGTATAATAGTCCGGTCCACATTGCCTTGATTGTGGCTTTTTAATCTTGATCAGTCTGTGTGACTGTCATTATAAAAGCAAAAACTGTTGATAGTGCATGTGACTTTCACAAAATGGGCAGCAAGATGTTTTGTAAATGGATCATCAGAGCAAAAGGGACAACAAAATAAGAGGACCATTGTCTACTGGAAAATATAAAAGCATATACTTTTTATAGTTTTCTAATAGTAGTTATCCCTATTTTTAGCTCAAAAATTTTTAAACTCTGGATTCCTTCCAAAATTTTGCATGGTTCATACGACATTTAAAAATTCTAATTCTGGAGTCAGATAAACCATCATCAGAGTTCTGTTCATGACACTCCCCTGCTTAAAAATACTTCCAGTTCCCAGCATTTGCCAAATGTGCTCTAAATGCACGACCCACTATCAGTTCCAGGGAAACTTTTTTTCTTACCTCTCACCATTTTCCCTTCAGCCAATTAACTACATTTGTCACACCCTGAATTTTCCTGATGATGGATTCGTGAAGTGATATTGTGAAATGTCTTCCTTAGTCAGTTTTCAAATGACAGATTATTCTCTATTGTGATTGTCCCTGAAATGTTTGTGTGTGTGTCTGTTTGATTATCCACTCACGCTGGGGCGGAGCCAGGCTGGTGTTTGGGGAGACATGAATAGACCAAAGGACTTTTAAGTTTTCCTCTTTATTTTAAGCTTTGGTGATTATACGAGTAGGTAATTTTGTTTTCATTTATGTACTCAGCTCCTTTTTTGTGTGATTAAAAAGCTTGAATACATGCGTGCATATATGCATTACAAATTTAAATGTCACTATATAAAAATGAAACACAAATGTTTCTTTTCAGTCATTAGCTTCCACTGCATGAAGGAGAGAAAATGACTTTACTAAGAGATTGTGCGTTGTCAGAAGGAAGAATCTGCTGACAGAACAGGTGCTCTAGCTTTTGCATAAACTACCCAAATGATGACATTTGGAATTCCCTAAAACAGTGTTGAATTTTCTGGATAAAGGCCAATATTAAAGTTTATTCTGGTAAAGGAAGATAGGATTCCAAAAATAGTTAATATTTGTGAAAACACTAAATGTGATTGTGGGGGATCTTAATTTAAATTTAAAAATGTATTTATTTCTCTCATTTCTATCATGTAGTTCAAGTTTGAGAAACTAATATCTACCTGAGCATCCCTTTGGAGTTAATGAAATCTTTCCCAAATGTGGGAGATTACAGGGAGAGCAGATAGAGTATATACGGCAGATATACCCAGAACCCTGCTGTGTTAATGTACTTTCATGTACTCAATCTGTACAGGGGACCTATGCGGAGTGAAAGTATACAAGTTGGGTGTCTTTTCTGTTGTGTCTTGTTTAAAGAAAGAGTCCTTCATAGTAACAAAGAAAGGCCTTACTCTTAAGCCAAGCATGGAATTCCTGAGTGTCCTTAAATTACCCTCCAGGGGTTTTCGGCTCGCTAGTGCTGGTACAATTAAAGGTAAATATTAAAAACTGGTGAGTTTCTTCTCATAGCTTTTGTGGGTCAGCAAACATGGTCCAAAAAGGATAAAGAAGGTACAACTATTTAATATACCAGTAAACGAATTCTTTTCTTATACTTTTAATGACCTAACATACAGTGTTATCAGTGATAAAGTGATGATTTAGAGCATAGTGAATCTCATTCCAAAATAAATCCCTGCTTTATTTGAAAGCTTTCTTAGCTACTTGTGTGTGTGCGTGTGTGTTTCTTAATGATATTTATTGACAAAAACATGTTAAGTATCTATGATAAAACTGAAGCCAGACATTGGGACATTCATATGAGTCAAGATTTGCATCTGAAGGCTGGCAAACAGAAGGCTAATCAATTAAAATATTTATAATTATGACTATTTTGTTATACTTAATCATAAAACAGCCCTTTTTTGGAATGAGGATTTAATATATAAAAACACTATTTGCAAGGTATACACAAGATGTATTGGAGCATCACTGCACCTTTTAGAAGATACATTTCCTCAATATTTCCTGCCCTTGCAGCCTTGACTGTCCCCCATGCTCTCCTGTTTCTCCCAGTTATTGTAAGTGGTTAGCAAAAAAGAAAAAGTAGGGAAAAAACCATATTATGAGCAATTTATTCATAGATATTTTCCATAAACTTGATATTTTAGAATCATGCTAGCTATTTTTATTGGCCATTCTTATGTGAGAGGAAACAAATAAATATAGTCTTGTTTTTCTAGTTTCTGAAGATCACTTGATCTAACAACAGTTCTAATTAGAAATTATGTAAAATGTCTATTTTATTTTCTAGGTCATTTTGTTGCCTACAATTAAGAGTGTTTCTCGGTTATTTATAACATAGGACAGGGAAACTAAATTTCAGACAGACTTTATAAAAAGGGGACCAAATGATCTGTTTTTTATAAATTAATGCAGTGTTGATTCCAGTCAACAATGCATAAAGAAATGTATAAAACTAGGTTCTATCAAATTTTCAGAAAATTGGCTTAGATATGTGCTGATACTTTGCATCTTTTGTTGTTAAAATATATGAATATATGTATTTTTTCCTTGTTTACGTCCAACCAGTTGACCCATCTTTGGTGACATATTTGAAAGCACGGCAAGATACTTCCTACCCGGTAGTATCCACAAGCCCTCTGATCCATGTTAAGCACCCATCAATACATCCTTTCCAAAGCCAGTCACTGTATTCCTACCTTTTTCTCCACACCCTGATGAAAAGACTCTTGGATCTGGGATAGATCATAAAAGAACAGTTGGTGCCACAACAAACAGGATCATACCTTTCTACCTCAACCAGTGAGTTAAACCCTAATATCTCTGACTTGATGATGTGAATATCCTGTTATCCAATCTCCCCACCATCTTATTTTCATTTTATTAGCGAGAAGAATGAAACTCAATGAGATTAAGAACTTGTCCAAGTATCTACATCTACCAAGTGGTGCAATTTTGGATGCACCCACACATCTCTAGATCTATTCATGCCTCTGTGTAGCCATCATTTATTTAGTTTGAGGGCTGCAAGGCTGGAAATTAGGAAGTGGATTATTTGTCTTTTCCCACCATGTTTGCAATTTAGGGAGCTGGCAATAGTAGAATATTAAGTTATGGCTGGGAGAAGAAATTAAACTTTCCCTTGTGTTAGATAAGTGAGAAAGAACATAAAAATATATATGTGATCCAGTTATTTTGCTACTTGGGAGATATATATATATATATATATATATATATATATATTAGTGGTAGTTTAGTTAATCCACATTCCTGTGTATCAAGGTAAAGTAAGATTTAAAACCAGAAATATCCTGGAGCTTCCAGTTTAAAATGTACCAGTCTAATAGATTAAGACATTCTCTTTTAGATAGTCCCTGAAATACATATATATATTTTTAAAGACAAGAACTTAATCCTTAAAATGGATTATACAGTATTTCTACTGTATATAGAGGACGGATGGCAAAAGATTAATAAAAATAATTTGTGACTGATATGTACTTTCCATCATAAAACAAAGCAGTTCCATTTGCAAGAAAGATGATGGAAAAATAACTTGTCCGTTCCTGATTGTCAAGTCCCATAGTCTGAGAAATATAAATTTATCTCTGTAATACACAGATTTCATTTTTGGGACTGATTACATCAGTGTTTCTTTGCCCCTCTTTTGCTCTAATTCCACATCCCTCAGAAATGACAGAGTGGAATGCAGAGAGAAAAGGCAGCATTTTTCATTGTCCAAAATGAAATTCCCTTAAGTATAGGGATAAGAAGAGAGACAATAAGAGCCCTAGTAGAAATCATGCTGAGGGTGGCACATTTTCATACTTTAACTGATTCAAAACCTTTAAAATCCAGTTATCCCAGGTAGGAGAAGATTACACGTGGTAATCCAGATAAATGATACTCAGCAAAAATGATTAGACACTGAAAATTGATTTCTGAATTATGCACATGGATCTGCTCTCCAGATCTAAGAAAGTGGCTACCAAACCAGACGTAGGTAGGTGAATAGTCATTCAAGATTAGAGAAAAAAGGCCTACATGGTTTCTTAAGGAAAAAAAAAACTTAATACCAATCAAAAAGATTTCAAAAACAGAACAAAACCACGAAAAAACAAACTATAGAAATAAAGGAGGAGAACATCATCCTGACGTTTCACAGTAACTTGAATAATGAGAATCACAGTTCCCTGGAGAGTATTACGGAAATCTATTTTGGATGCTTAGTAGTATCCAGTAAGCAAAATTTCCGAGAGGCAGAAAGCAATCAGGATAGATAGGCCAGAAAAAGATGAGGCCAACAAGATGACATACAAAGATAACAAGCAGAGATGAAAAGGGACATGGGCATGATAAGGAATCGTTTGAAATGATGTCACCTAATAATTATGGTACCATCAAAGGAGCAACCAAAACAACCATAAAAGAAGCAATAATCAAAGGCATAGTTGAATTTAATTTCCTGATGTTGATTAAAGCCTTGACTTAGAAAGTGCTGATTGATTACTAGACACAATATGGAAAAAACAAAACAAAACAAAACCAGTGCCTGCATAGGCATGACATGGAAAATGGAAATGTACATTTAAATAAAATAATTCTATAACAATCCATTCAGCAGGAACAGATTAAGTAAAAAGGAATAACATCAGTCTCCCCTCTGTCTCATTCATAAAAGCAAAAAGCAGAAAGGAAAAGTTTATGTGGCAAAGGATAACAACAACAACAAAAAAACCCCACAAGAAAACAGCATGGTGATGTCAAAGAGAAAAGATGACATAAATAAAATAAGCAGTTACATTAAATAGATATAAATGGGTTAAACATAATCTATACTATTGCTTTTTAAAAATTTTTTATTGTTATGTTAATTACCATACATTACATTATTAGTTTTTGATGTAGTGTTCCATGATTCATTGTTTGCGTATAACACCCAGTGCTCCACGCAGAACGTGCCCTCCTTAATACCCATCACCAGGCTAACCCATCCCCCCACCCCCTCCCCTCTAGAACCCTCAGTTTGTTTCTCAGGGTCCATAGTCTCTCATGGTTCGTCTCCCCCTCCCACTTACTCCCCTTCATTCTTCCCCTCCTGCTATCTTTTTCTTTTTCTTTTTTCTTAACATATGTTGCCTTATTTGTTTCAGAGGTACAGATCTGTGATTCAACAGTCTTGCACAATTCACAGCGCTCACCATAGCACATACCCTCCCCAATGTCCAACACCCAGCCACCTCATCCCTCCCACCCTCCACCACTCCAGCAACCCTCAGTTTGTTTCCTGAGATTAAGAATTCCTCATATCAGTGAGGTCTGGAGGGTGTTATACTATTGTTCATCTTACATAAATCTTTAATGTTTAATACCTTCTATGCTGTATTTGAGGTGATTTCCTTAGATTTGTCATATATTTTACCATTTTTTAAATATTTTACCATTTTTAAATCAGTTGTTTCAGATATTTATTTCACTCATTGTAATTCTCATTTCTAAAAGGCTATTGCTATATTTTAAAAATCTTATTTTTCCAAGATACTCTGTTTTTCATTAAGCTTTCTAATTCATTATCCCTTTAATCATTATAAACATACTCATTTTATGGTTTCATTCAGATTATTCTATCACCTACCTATTAACATGATGTTTACTATTATCTATTAGCATGGTGTAATCTAGTACATTGTCTATAATGCCGGTTCCATCCTTAGAAATTCATTTCCAAGTATTGATTATGATTTTGTCAGATCAACTTTTCTTCTCCCTTTCCCTCCTGCCCAGAGCTGCTTTGCATGTTTGTTGATTTCTTGAGCCAATGTTCCAAGAGAGTTTGGTTGTTTTTGTTGTTTCTCAGTTCATGGCCAATGCTGCCCTTTCAGGATTCCAGTTTTACGACTGAGTTAGTTCCAGCTAATAGCTAGAGGCTGTATCTAATGTGCCTGATAATATGTTAAGCTCCAGCCCCCACACACCTGGTGTGTATGCATGGTTGGTGGGGCAGGGTGTGCGTTTGGAGGAGACTGATAAGGGTGGGAGTATCCATAGAATCATTTGCTCATGTTCCCTAGGGAGAGAAGAGAATTCTAGCTTTTTGAGATTTTTAAAAAAGATTTTATTTATTTGAGAGAGAGAGAGAGAGAGAACGTGTGAGTAAGCACGAGCTGGTGAGGAAGGAAAAGGGAGAAGCAGGCTCCCTGCCGAGCAGGGAGTCCTCAGGGCTCCAATCCCAGGACCTGGAGATCGTGACCTGAGCCAAAGGCAGCAACTTAACCTACTGAGCCACGGAGGCACCCCTAGCTTTTTGAGATTTTGTTAATTTCCAGACCTAAGGGATTTTCTTTCTGGCTTTTGAGTTCCTCCACCTTAGTCTGTGTGTGTGTGTGAGAGACAGATTTTTGTCCAGCATTTCTAGGTAGTGGGAAGATGGCCATTTGTCATCAATTCAGTTAGCCAAAGTACCGATTTCTTTTTTCTTCTCTGTTTCTTTGCCCTAGTATATGCTCTCTCTGCTAGAAAATCCTTTTTTTATCATGTTTAGGTGAAGAACATTGGTTTATTCTATAAGTGGTAGCTCAACTCTTTCCTTATGTGTCAAGACATTCTAAGATATCCAGGAGGGATTGAGTTTTTGTTTGTGTCAGTCCCATTCTTTGTACACAACCTATATCATACTATAGTATTATTAAATTATCTTTTCCATTTAGCATCACTAAGCACAAGTACAACATAGTAGGTGCTCAAAAAACGTTGCATGAATTAAATAAATTAATGAATGCATTTGTGGGAATGTAAGTAGTATTAGTAATCCTTCTATACTTTTTAACAATGCTAAATTAGTATTTCATAATATGATCTGTTGTTATTAATGTGAGACATGGTAGATGCATTTTCTCTATCCAGTGGAGCATAAAACAATAAAATGGGACCCTACATCAGCTGTTTATTTAACCTTCTTTCATCAAAGGGTGAAAATAGGTGAACATTTTCTATGGAAATCGGAATACAATGAAGCACTCCATGCCTCATAAAATAAAAAAGATAAAAACTAGTTGAGGCCAAAACACAGCCTAAATAATAATTAAAGGTCTTTATTACATACATCACCTTCCTTTATGTCTGAATGATTTCTGGGAAAAGATGAGTGTCATTTAATTATGAACCAGAAAAGATTTCTTGTCAGTAATGAAAGGTGAAATTAATTTATTAAATAAAAACTTATTCCATATTATATAAGAAATATTTTAGAGAGTTAGATGGGAAAATAATTTTGCTCATGAAGAATGCCATTTCTGCATAATGCTATTGGTTTTAAGATGATCTTGTTCAAATGTAACATGTGAGTCATATACAAGAATATTTGTGAAATAGATGTGTCATATCACATAAGAATAAAATAGACAAGTTGGTAAGACTACCATGTAACTTAAGAAATCAAAAAGAGCTGATCCCCTAGAACAGCCAACACAGGAGAAGAATAGAGATGGAAGAGGGGCACTACCTGACTTCGAGACTTACTGTAAAGTTATAGTACTCAACACAGTATGGAACTGGTGAAAGAATAGGCAAGTAGATCAGTAGAACAGAAAAGAGAGCCCAGAAATAGATCCATATATATATATATAGTCAACTTATTTTGACAAAGGAGAAAAGGCAATGCAATGGAGTAAAGACAGTCTTCTGAAGAAAACAAGTGCTGGAACAAGTAGATGTCCACATGCAAAAAAATGAATCTAGACACAGACTTTATACTCTTCACAAAAATTAACCCCAAATGAATTATAGACATAAATGTAAAATGC